TCTTCGCTCAAAATGGAATAGAAAAATTCCCTCTCTTTTTCCTCCCCATTTTTATAACAGCTCAAAACTGCCAAGTTCTCTATTCCTCTCAGTATCTCTATCTCACAAAATTCTTTCTCCTCACAGGTTGTACAGTGCCTAACAATGTGCTATAGTGCCCTTACATTACTCAAACATGTGCTACAATAATACCATGGCAATTAATCCCTAATCCATGTTTCTTCGATCAAAGGCATCCTCTCTTAACTTCCTCAATATGTAATAACTCAAAAGCAATCAATAGTCAAAAAAGAATACAACAACAACAAAAAGCCTTTATGCCACTAAGTGGGGTCGGCTAAATGAATCCTTTTCTCCATTGCATCCTATTGAGTATCCTATTGAGTGTCATATTTCCTATTGAGTGTCATATTTTCATTTAATTCTAATAAATTAAGATCATTTTTATACAATATGCCCAAGTCTTTCTAAGTCTGCCTTTGTTTTTCTTAATATAAATCGAATCTAAAATATCTAGTGTCCTAACCGGATCATCATATGGTCGACGTTTAATGTGACCAAACCATCTAAAACGACTCTCTCTAATTTTGTCCACCACTGGAGCTACACCAACCCTATCACGGATATATTCATTTTGCATTTTGTTTGTAAGTGTAACGCCACTCATCCAGCTAAGCATTCTCATCTCGACAACACTGAACTTTGTTTTATGCTTCTCTTTTAAAGGCCAAGATTTAGCACCATAGAGCATTGCAAGTTTCACCACTATCTTATAAATTTTTCCTTTCAGTCTAAGCAGTACTTTTCTATCACACAATAGGCCCGAAACATTCCTCCACTTCAACATCCGAAACATTCCTCCACTTCAACCAACCAACTTGAATTCTACTAACAACATAGCCACCTATATCACCATCACTCTAACTCAAGATATCTAAAGCATTCACACCTTTTAATAATTTGGTCACCTATAGTTACAACTCAGTCATTAGAGCTACTACTACTAAAATTACATTACATGTATTCAGTTGTAGTTGTAGTTCTACTCAAACGAAGGCAACGAAGGCCTTTAGATTCCAATGTAGACCTCCATAAGTCAAGAATTTCCTGGGCTTTTTTTCTTGTCTTATCCACAAGAAGGATATCATCGACGAAAAGCAAACACCAAGGTACATCATCCTGTAAATTTCCAGTAAGAGCATCCATAACTAAAGCAAAAAGATATGGGCTTAAAGCCGATCCCTCATGTAATCCAACTAAAAAAGATCAAAAAAGAATACCAATATAAAATTCATCATCATTGGTTTATCATAAGATTGAAATCAAATTAAACCATCCTTTGTATATGAAAGCCAAAATTTCTAATGATATTTGCATCTAAACTTCACCCACACAAATCCATTTGTTACCATTATCAATCTACACCACCATGTTATAAAGCCAAGAAAATTTACTTTTGTAAGTGCATAAATCAGGAATGGGCAATACATCAAAAACATATAAAACTGCCTATAGAGCAAAAAAATATTGACTGTTCATTTTGGAATCAAAATTATGAATTTATTAACACATTTCCTCAAGTATATCTGCATTTGAGAATCAGTTTCAAAACAATCAATATTAATGTGTTTGATTCTTATCGATATTCATGAGATGATTGAGGAACTCATGAAAAACATCAATGCCATCAAGATAGCTGTTATATGATCAACTAGTCCATCACAATCCAAAGCCACCTCATCATTATGAAAAATTATATAATATACCAATCTTCCAAACTCCAAATTTCAGAAACATATAAAAATTCTGTAAGTTCACATTTGTGTCACTTCCACTAGTTCCAAAATTAAATACCTGTGATAGGTTGACTTATGAAAATCGCTATCATGATGGTGATCCAATAGGAAAGAATGTCATCAATTTATTAAACTTCTGAGTATTCAAAGTAATTTAGAATCTCTTAGAAACTTTCCAAAGTTTCTACAATAATCCAAAGTGTTCCTAAATGAAATTAAACAAATATTAACAACAAAATAATCAATGGAAAGGGTCCAAGCAACAAAAGATTCAAATTTCAAATTGCCAAATAAGATATCTCAATCTTATTCACATTTAGATATTGCTCATACAAAAGAAAAAAATTCAGGTAGTGTTATCCACAGGAACATTTCAGTCTTCCAAAAAAACATATTTGATGTCTAATGATTCTTTCTACTATTAATAATATTCATAAGATTCCAAAAATTTTAAAACAAGCAAACAAAGAGGGAAAGTGAAGAGAAGCAATGACAAAAAAGAGAAAAAAATCACGGAAATGATTCCTTGAAAGACAAATATTGTCATTATGTTATTATGGTGACATACTATCAATTTGTCTTCTAGATTACATCAATTCTCCTTGTATGCTAAGTCCTCATGGCATACATAATCATTCATAGTGGACCAATTCCACTTTGTTAGAAGATCCACGTGGCAGTTTGTCCTAAGATTTTTAAAAAACTTAGAGACATTCGTTTAGCTGGTTTTAGGTAGGGAAGAGTGAATCCCTTGACCCTATAGTGTAAGTAGGTGCACACTCCTACACAATATACAGCCAAAGACTCCCTCCAATCCACTTGCAAGGATTTGGAAACCAAGCCTACCTAAAGAGATGTTGGATCATTATGAAATCCAAACAGGACTCATGGACTAAAACTAAAAATGAGTGATATAAGAAAAAAAAAACTATTAATGACCGATTAGCCACAAGGGTAGAACTATTCACTTGCAAAGAGATAGCAATACAATAAGTAAAATTGATGCTAAATTTGCAAAAATTGAAGAGCATGCTGTACTAAATGGCTCAACTGCAAAAATAAATATCCCAAAAAACCAAAAAATATAAAATAAAATTGCTGCATAAGTTGTGGCAACGACCCTCAAAGTCCTAAAGACATTGATGAAAAAAACAAGAAGAGAACCATCATAGATGAGGAATGCCAACCACTACTAAGACATCCACTGATTTTAAGCTAGACGCCAAATTAAAAATGCCTGCCATTAATGGTGTACGCTTATAAGGCGAACAATTGATTGGAATTCTTAGAAAAATACATATACTTTTACAAGTACACTAATGCAAAAAAAAAAAAAACTATTCTATTATTTGCATGGCTGAATATATCAACCAACATAAATATGTGAACTAATTTAGAAAGATATCAACCAACATAAATATGTGAACTAATTTAGAATCCTTTGACTAGGATCAAGCTTGAATAAATTTGGCACAAATTAACAGCTAATTGAAGCCTAATTTTATCCAATAACAACATATTTATGTGAACTAATTTATAATCCTTTAAGTGGGATCAAGCTTGAATAACTTTGGCACAAATTAACAGCTTATCGAAGCCTAATTTTATCCCACAACCATGAGCAAAAAGTATATGCAATGACAGAACCTAAAACAGTGATATGAGCAATCGGTTTATATACCACTAAGTTCATGTGACATGCATTCTCACTCAGCATCACGTGTCCTTAAACTTTTAGATCATTGGTATTCTAATTGCACAAATTCATAAAAATTATCGTTAAATTAATTCATTTTTTACTTAAAATTAAGTTAATTAATAGGATATTTAAAAGTAAAACTCATTGAACACAAACCAAAGAAGAAATTGTTGAATGGAATCCACACGTAATAGAGTCCAATAGCAAACTAGCAATTAAATCATAAACACATGCAATGATCAATCATTCAATAGAAGAAATTCAAGGAGCTTTAAATATTTTGCTTGCTTTTAGACAATTATGGTCACAAGGCACATAAGACAGCACAGACCAACCCACTCTTGAAGCCATTGGCTAGAATATTTTATCCCATAACCATGAACAAAAAGTATACGCAATGACGGAACCTAAAATAGTGATATGAGCAATCGGTAAAATATGCCACTAAGTTCACGTGACATGCGTTCTCATTCAGCAGCTTATGTCCTTAAGCTTTTAGATCATCCTTATTCTAGTTGCACAAATTCATAAAAATTATCGTTAAATTTATTCATTTGTTACTTAAAATTAAGTTAATTAATAGGATATTTTTAAGTAAAGTCATTGATCACAAACCAAAGAGGAAATTGTTGAAAGGAATCCACACATAATAGTCCAACAACAAACTAGTAATTAAATCATAAACACATGCAATGATCAATCATTCAATAAGAGAAATTCAAGGAGCTTTAAATATTTTGCTTGCTTTTAGACAATTATGGTCACAAGGCATGCAAGACAGCGCAAGCCAACCTACTCTTGAAGGCATTGGCTGCAACCAGCTAGTAAAGGCAGCACACATATTCAAAACAAGAAAGAAAATAAAGGGAAGGAATTAGCCAACGAAAGAGTTTGTATGAAGACCAATAACCACATTATGTCATTATGATTACAATCTTCCAATTTGATTTCTATATTAAAACCAGCTGTGTAAACCTCTAACACATCTAAACTTAGTCATCTATAGTGACCATATTCTAATTTATTAGTTGATTGACATGACAGTTTATCCTAAACTTGTAGTAAGCTTGTGTGATCTCATATTGCTTTGGGTAGTATTTAGTTGGGAAGAGTGAATCCCCAACCCAATAAAATAAATAGGTGACACAAGCACCCTCACAAAAAACACACAAAGACTCACCAATTTATCTTATAACCACATTTTTACAAATAAGGATTACACGCATGTTATTTGGATTATTAAGTGAATATATAAAAATTAAAACATTGCATTCCCCCTAATTCTCTCCCATCTCCTTTCTCTAATGGTCCTCCCCCACTTTGAAGCCATTGTAACTTAGTCATTTATTAACTTATAATTATAGCACATAACCTAACAAATGGCCAAACATATGAACATCTCACAAAAAGCTCCCCACAACAAAAAAGGAATAATAGAAACAGATTGATATGGCACACATGTAAATAACAAAACGTGTGAGAAAAAGGTTCTATGTTATACTTACAATGGTGAGGCATGTCCAAAACTTTAGCCATCACGCCATGCAAATCACTCCCGCTATACCTCTGTAACATAAACATTAAGCAATGATGTTATCCCTTACATGATACAAACATTAATTCTAATCCAATGCATCAAATATTCTGTGCCCTAAATTCCCAGCTAAAAACAAGCTTCCGAAGAAAAAAAGAAAAAAAGAGCATTATGTTAACTCATACGGAAATAATCATATATTAACAAGGATACTCTCACACTTACCAAATGTACATCAATCATTGGAACTTCAGTACTCTTTCGATTCAAAACCAAAAGCCATGGAATATAAAATTTCTCATTTCCAACTTGAAATGATCTGCAACATCATTTCCAATTTAGAGCAACTGAATTTCACAACAAAAGCTCATAAATGATATTATGCTGTACCACACATGGCATTTTATAAAAGTTAGGATTTATATGTAGCTATCTGAACCTTTACATGATATAAATTAATAAATATTAAGCTCTAGTTGAAGCTCATAAACGATAGTAATGTACCACCCATTCTAAGTTCTTGTTGAAGCAAAGCAAACATTGCTAGAAATTACACTAGAATGAGGATGGCCAAAAAATTGCTCAATATGCAACTCAAACAAGTATACATGATGAACTATGGATCAAAAAGATGGACCTTATTTTTTTATAATAAGGATTAAGAGGTCCAAAATGTTGAAAACACCAATATAGTTTTATTTTGATCTCTGACATATGAAGAAAAAAAAACCTAAAAAATTATGCAGAATCTACAATAATAGGATATCCTATGCCTACCATCGTAGAACAATCTATACTGAAGCCAACAAGCTTGTCTCAAAAAAATAAAAAATGAAACTCTAAAAAGAACATTGATTCTAAATTTCAAGGATTATCCTGGACTGTCAGTCACTTTGACTCATGGTTACTGCTACTTTATTCATGGTTATTTTGATTTTTTTTTTTTATGTTTCGTAAGGGACTCATTCTATAAAAAGATTCAATCATTCAATGCAAATGAGCATTCGGACCACAAAAAACTATCAACGAAATTTAGAAGACACGAAGATAAATCTCACATTTTATACGGATCAGCACCCGTGAAGCCAGTGGGCTTTGCAATCGGCATCAAAACCTGTTGTTGGGTAAAGATGATTAGAGAATCAACACGAACAACGAAAACCCTAATCAAGAAACCGGAGGCACACTACCTCGCGATTAACCGCAAAGATTGGACAGTGGCGTCCAATCAAATCTTGCCATACCGTTCTTGACTGCAATTATAAGTAGCAGAGATATGCAATATGATAAAGGTACGACAATAAAAAAAAACAACAAGGTATAGAATGTTCTTGATTTTGGATTCTCACTCCGTGGTATTGGCCCGCCTTACTCATCGGAACGATCTCGCCCGGCCTGTAAGCGAGAGAAGTGGAGGCTAGAAGCGTGAGGAAGGAGAAGAATAGAATGGATTTAACATGATCGCAAAGATGTCTCCTCATGGCGGCTATCGCTCGCGGAATGGTAGAGATAAAAAAGATAGTCGGCATGAAGGATTATGCTCTAAATCAGTGAACAACAGTGGGATCGGCAGTCAGTGTTCTGTGCATCAGTACTTCTCTCTCGTCTAAGGATTTCGTCGCGTGAGCTCGTCGATGGCAACTCTCGCAGGTTGCAACGGCCATGTTGAACCTCTGCAGAAACGCAAATGTATAGATTTACATACCGACCACCCAATTCCTGTACATTTGCAGAATTTTTTTTTCTTACATTTATACCACCCAAATCTTTAGTTTCACAAAAAAAACTATCAATTTAACTTTTCAAAAGAGACTATAAAAATAAAAATTCACCAATTTTATGCATAGATAATACTCCCCGTGTGTGTAAAAATAAAAATTTTGGTGTTGGATATGTAAATAAACAGGAGTTAAGTTGTATGTATATAAATCTTAATGCCTATTAAGTGAGCTAATTTAAGTTGATAAAAATTTTAAATTGAATTTACATGCATATCACACAATTCTTAGGGTGTGTTTGGGGCAGCTTGAGCGTTTCAGGATAAGTAAGCGCGGCCCGCGGGCCGACTGCGAGGTTCAACCCGCGACCTGCGTTTAGTGTA